CGTGGGCCACACAAAGGCATAAAGACGTGTGTACGTGTGTGTGTGTGTGTGTGTGTGTGTGTGTGTGTGTGTGCATTTGTGTTTGATAGTACAAGAACATGGTATACATTTGGTTTCAGTGCTTGAGGGCATGCTTACATTGATTTTGTGTTTATGCTTGTGTGTTTGAGAGATAAATGGAGAGAGTGCAGCAGTAAAGCAGTATATGCTAATAATCATCATTTATGGAACATTAAGTCTTCATTGTGAATGAGTGACTGTTTGGAAACATGCTACAAAATAACCATGCAGATATGAATGAGTAGTTCAGCTACACATGGTTAGATTTATCCCTATGATGGCTAAATGTCTGCAGAAGGACGGAAAGGCAAATCTTCCAAACCAAGGACTTTTGCAGATCCTACATTTACTGGATCTGTTTGCTTAACATTTGGGTTGTGGTTAATGTCCTCACATGTTTAGTAATGACACCAGCACATTTTTATACCTATTTTCTTCTTGTTCTGCATGAAACTACAACATTCTTGTCTTCTTTAACTTATGGCTATTCCTGTTCAATTTCCTCAGGTTTGGTGTTACTCAGATACCGTCAGCATCATCCACGGAGTTGTCTGACCAGTCCCAGCTAAGTTTGTTCCAGTTTTCAGTGCAGGCCGATCCAGCCTTTCAAGCTGGACAGAGGAGAGGGGAGTGGGGCCGAGGGCCTGGGCTTTGTGCTGCGCCACAGAACATCAAACTGCACAGAACAGAGGACAGTTGGTGCACATACAGATCCCATGAGCCTCTGGGAGGAAGGAGACACGCCCACCTCAGGTTCTTCAACCAGTCACCTCAGCGCCACAGAGTGCCCCTTTCACAATGGGGTGAGTATCCTAACACAAACAAACACTGTCGTCTGGTTTGTCTGGAGCCATGAGGTGTGTTCTGGGTTGACCGGTAACACAGGAAAACTATCCCACCTAAACACACACCCTCACATAAATAATAAATCAAATAGGTCTTGTTAGCAGGGAAGTATGATGTTTGGTAACTGATGCTGACCCACAGAGTCTGTCTTTATAACAATATAGGATCAATATAAGCAGTTTATAAAATCTAATTCCCATTATGCACATTTTTCAGCAAATTATACTTTTCATATAGTATCAAATTTAACATTGAGCACATCTTTTAATAGTTTCAGGGTTCATTAGTGCTGTGGTTTAATCACTTGACCTTAGTCTGCTGCCTTTGCATGTGTATGCATCATTGTCTAGCACCAATATGTTTCCAATAATAAGTAAGTAAACTTTAATTATATAGCACTTTTCACAGACAAAATCACAAAGTGCTTCACAACATCACAGAATAGTAATAATAATAAACACAAATAATATACATAAAACCTAAAAGCAATTCAAATAACAGAATAAAAACAGTTCATAAAAATCTGTAAACCCAATCAATTAAAAAACTGTCTAAATAAATGTGTCTTCAGCTGCTTTTTAAAACCCTCAACAGATTCGGCCATACGTAAAGACAAGGGCAGAGCATTCCATAATCTTGGAGCAACCACCTTAAAAGACAGGTCCTCCCGAGATTTAAAGCAAGTTTTTGGGACCAACAAAAGGGGCTGATTTGAGGAACGAAGGGTACGTTTGGGAGAATATGAAACCAACAAAGCAGTAATATACTGGGGGACCTGCCCATGTAGTGCCCTAAATGTCAGCACTAAAATTTTAAAATCAACTCTGACCTTGACTGGTAGCCAGTGAAGTGAGTACAAAACCGGAGTGATATGAGCTGATCTAGAGGTTCCTGCGAGGAGCCTCGCAGCAGCATTCTGGACAACCTGAAGTCGGTTTAAAGTAGACTTATTACAACAAGTAAAAATAGAGTTACAATAATCAATATGCGAAGAAATAAAAGAATGAACAGTCATTTCAAGATCCGTCTTTGATAAAATCTTCCTTAATTTAGAAATATCTCTCAAATGATAAAAGCAGTTCCTGACTAATTGTCTTATATGACAATCAAGAGACATTGCCACAACACCAAGGTTTCTCAGGCTCAACTGGACAGAGGAGCCCAGCAAACCAAAGTGTTGTTTAATTACTGCAAACTTGTTAACAGGTGCAACAATAAGAGTTTCAGTCTTATCGGAGTTTGTGAAGATAATTATTATTGAGCCAGTTCTTGATGGAAGACAAGCACTCTAATAATATTGCTAAAAAGTGAAACACTGAATCATTAAAAGAACAGTAAATTTGAAGATCATCTGCATAAAGATGATATGACACATTCTTAAAACGCCAGATAATCTGACCCAGAGATAAAATATATAAGAAAAAGAGAGGACCCAAGACCGACCCCTGTGGAACTCCACAGGGCAGAGCAGCCACATCAGACATAACATTATTAATAGCCACATTAAAAGTTCGATCACTAAGATAGGAAGAGAACCACTTAAGGACAGACCCAGAAAACCCCAACTCAGACTGGAGCCGATTTATCAAAATTCCATGATCCATAGTGTCAAAGGCAGATGTTAAATCTAATAAAACCAGAACTGTATATCGACCAGAGTCTGCAGCCATCATTGTCATTTGAGAAGTAAAGCAGTCTCAGTAGAATGCATCTTACGAAACCCTGACTGAAATTCGTCAAATAGTTTATTCTGTTCCATAAAAGTGATCAGCTGTCCTGCTACCGCTTTTTCCAAGATTTATAATAATAATAAACTTTATTTGTACCACACTTTCCAGCTCAAGAGCACAAAGTGCTACAACAATAGAAACATAGTAATACAATATCAGTTAAGAACACTCATAAACAGACAGAAGCCAAATAGATATCCAAGGTCTGATATAGGCCAAGTTGATGGATTAATCCTGTTCATTAGTGTATTGTGTGTATAGTGTAATGAGAAAGCAGATTTAACACTAGATTTATATATACACTAGAAGATAATTAGATGTCACTTTAACGAAAGTGTTTTAAATTTAGTTAAAGAACGTTTTGGTACATAGAAGTTTGCTCTTTGCTTCTTTTAAAAGTACTGCACTGTGTCTAGTTTTACTTAAGTTTTTTTTTTTTTTATCAGATGCATAACATGGTATCACATTTTGAGTGTGCACCACTAAAGTGCAAAGCATACACAGGAAACCCTGAAAACAAGATAAAAACCTAAGAACATGTTGCATGCAAGTACAGCAAAAACAGAATAAAATGTGTCACTAACGGAGGAAAAGATGTGCTACATACTTTAAGTACACCAACATGGTAAATAAAAGTTAAAAATAAACAACAATCTAAGCGCATTCTACTGCTAGCACTATAGCAAAGCACTTGGATATTTAATAATGCCTTGTACGGAAGCAACTCGGAAATATTTGCTGAAGGAGAATGGAGCATTTACTTTCTCAGCGGGTTCTTGGAGCTTGATTTTGCATGGATTGACCTTGTTTTCCAATCTCCACCACCTTCAACGCTTATCAAACTTGAGTCATTTTGTGATACAGTAATTAACAGAGCATTATGATGGGCTTAGCTCAGTTTGGTTGGCCTGATGGTTTTGTTCCGCTCTAAAGTGACAACGTGGATATGTGAGATTAGCATCCCATGAAGGCAGCGTATCTGACCAAACTGATCAAAGAAATGTGCCAGTTTCCCTCCTTCAAAGGCATTGTGTTCTTGTAGTTTGACTCTGTGCATGTGTATACAAAGCTGCTCTGTTATTCACTGTGAAAGGCAGTCAGCATAGAGCTATTGAGCTGAAGCACTATAGTGTCAATGTGTACGTATTGTTACTTTTGTCACTGCTTGTGTGTGTTTGTATCCACCTTTTCACCTACTGTAACACAACACGGATACCTGAGAGGACACTAGGGGCACCCTGCCTCTGTCAACATGCTGTCTTAACACCCTTCAGCCCACCCCTTTAATCTTTCAGCTTTTTAGATTGGTGTTAGTATGAGTCTCAAAATGTGTTTGAGTGTGTGGCAAAGGTTTGAGGTTGGTATCGCACATCCTGTTTGCTATCACACTGGGTCGGATGCTTTTCTCTCTCCTAGTTTGGTACGGTAGTTTGATCTGTGTTATGTGTCTTCTAAAAGTTAAATGGATTATTTATTATTTTAAAAAATGTGTTCTCCATTTAAAAAAAACAATTTTTTCAAGTATCCTGTTTTTATACCTTTTGTCCCCATGAGATTCTGGTATTTGTGTGTCTTCCTGATCACACCCCACAGCTGTAGAAAAGAATTTCGAAACAATAACTCTTTGCCTGCCAGTAATCTTGGCATGCTTTTCCTTGTTTTCTGACTTATCTACAATGTTACAACAGTGAATTATCATTTTATTAGACTATTTTGACTTATGAGGGGTGCAAAGCTAATCTAGAGGTACCCAAGATTAAACATTAAATGGCTGGAAATGAGCATGCCATGGTCACTTTAACCTTTGTAGTGGATATTTGAATTTGGTGCTCAGAAAGGTTTTAAACAGATGATTGCAGTTAAAAGTGTCATAAAGATGTCTCTAAATATAACACCCCCAAACACTATAGCTTTCAGTTTATATCCACAAGGGTAATCCATACATTAGGTACAAAACTTCAGTGTCTTTTACAGATGTTTTAAAAAAAAAAACCCAGTGAACTGACATGCGTCATCGCAGGTGTGCGTTGCCCTGAAGAATCCTGTGTGCGTCATGAGTTAGTACCCACTGCTTTCTTCTCACTGTCCCTGTCATCAGCAGTCAGTCATTTAGCTGCCCTAGCATTCTTCTTAGCTATAATGCATTAAAACCCTTGGCCACTGTTGGGAACAAATCTGACGTCATTACGCTGACATCCTGCCACCTCTTAACAGCTACTGTGGAAACTGGACTACGTATTATGTTGTAAGAAAATACAGAATAATTATTCTTATTGTTTTGACAGAAAAAAACTGAAGTTTACGGTGCAGGCTAATATATTACATTGAATGTCCAAAATATTATGGACGTGTTCCACTTATTGACTTGCAGCTACGTTTCTAATCTTAAAGAGATAGTTTGACATATTGGGTGTGTTTGGAAGATACTGTTTGTTACTGAAGGTCTTGTCATCTTTTTCAAATTGTTATCATGAGCGCATTGTACATGTGTGAGTCAGATGCCAGATTACTCCATGCACGCTGTGCAGGGGTTATGGTGTACAAGGGTGAGCTCTTCCCTCTTTAGTCCATTCTAGATTCAGGCTCTCTCGCCATTGGTCCACAAAGTTTCAGCTGTTTCCTGAATCCCACCTTCAACTCGACTGCCAGCCTGGGACTTTGTTTACTTTGAGTCTAAAGTTCGATGGCTTACTGTGAGATGGAGATTTTTCTTTACATTAAAGGTCTCTCTTTCTTTGCTTAATTGTCAAACATATCATCTATTAGCTGCCTGTAAAGCTCAGCAGAACTAAATTGAGCAGAGATGTCCCACGACAAAAACACAAACACAGTGTCTCAGGTGTGTGTGCATGTGAATACTCATTAGTCAGGTGAAAATTGCTAGCCAAGTATACATAGAGAATGGTTAATGAGTCTGAAGGGAACTGGATACATGTTTTGTTTTTTTTGTCTATGTGTGTTGGACAGAAGAGGAGATTGGTCTTTAGGGACTTTTAAGAAAAACTGCCTCATCTAATGTTGAGCAGAACAGCGTCTTGAGGGATTTCCTGGGTCTCCTCTTGTTTGCATGTCTGCATATCATCCACGACTAGCTGCTTAGCTAATACTTATGTGAAAAATGTCAGTATCTGTGCTTCGTAGTTATTCTTTACTTTGTCCTGCAGTGTCCTTTTTTGTAGGGTTTTATTTATCATGTCTCACTGTATTATGGAAACTTGGGGCGTGCCTGCAGCTATTTTGTTTTTGCTTTGCAAGTAAAGAGAATATACTTGAAAGTTTTGAGACTCCTCCTGAAGCCAAGTATTTACTGTGATAATGGACCAGTTTTCCTTCTACTGGTTTAAACATGTCAAATCTGTTTCAGTTTTTTTTTCCCAGGCATTTCTCAGGAGATTGTTTCCTAAAAAAGTGGGAACAGTGCTGTACAGCAACTGAAATGATTATTACCTGACGTGTGACTCTGGTTCACTGACCTCCACTCTGTTTTAGACAGACATGATGAGCTGTTGTGTGGCAAGCTCTCAGAGCCGATTACCTGACATGTGTGACTCTGGTTCACTGACCTCACTCTGTTTTAGGCAGACATGATGAGCTGTTGTGTGGCAAGCTCTCAGAGCCGAGGACGGACATTAGCCTGTGACCAGAGTGATATTTGATTCTACAACCTCTGCCATAATGGCTTGTTTGAGAAAGGGCAGCTGAGGTCGAGTCGTGTGCGTCTGACATACCGTGTTCATCCAAGGAGTGTGTGTGTGTGTGTGAGTGAGTTCCTGGATGTAAGCACATTAGTGTCAAGAATAGCTTGAATCTCCGAGAACCATAACCTGCTTCACTCCTACAGTTGTTCCCCTGTCTGAATCTTCTCTCTGAGTTGCTATTGGATCTTGTTACAGCTAACTAAGTGACAGTCAAACCCTCTGCATCATCTGCTGCTAAACCTCAACTCTGCAGCCTCACAGTCTGGAATGAGTTGTGTGACTGCAGTTTCTACTACTTTTCTCAAGCTGGCAGCTCAGCCCCCTGTGGTCGCTGTGAAAACCATGTTCTTCAAAACTTGAAATGAGCTAACGGTCTTGTTTTTAGCCAGTTAAAATATAGTATTTAACTTAGGAGAATTTTTCTGAAAAATTTTAACTTGTCAAATTTGGAGATACATGATACAGTGACTCTACCTTTTAAATTGATATTTTTGTGATTTGGTCGCTGGCCAAAGTGGCTATTAGTGTGATGATTTTGTGGCAGATTTTTTTTGTACAGCCTGGGACAGGAGTTCTTTGTTTGCAGTGTGTGTGTGTGTATATGTGTATGTATACAATGTACAAGAGGCATCATTGTGGAAAAAAATATTTCTCAGCCTTTATTTACATTTGAACAAAAAGTGGCATGTCCAAAATTATTCACACCCTTTGCAAACTGTTACAGTCTATGGGAAAATCCAAAGTTCTATACCATTCCAAATAGTCCAAGCTTTTCTAAAGCATCCTAATTACACTGATTCATTGGGAACAGCTGTTTTAATCAACTCAACAGGTGAAAAACAGAAGCTCTCTACTGTTGGTTTGTGGACAGTCATGGCTAAGACAAAGGAGCTCACTGAGGACCTGCGGCTGCACATTGTGGCTGCTCATAAGTCAGGAAAGGGCTATAAGACCATATCTAAATGTTTTGAAGTTCCAGTGGCTACAGTGCAAAGTATTATTACAAAATACAGGACGTTCTGCCTTGTGAAAAATCTCGAAGGATGTGGCCAGAAGCCAAAAGTGACACCTGTGCTGACCAGGAGGATCGTGAGAGAGGTAAAAAAAAGAATCCAAGGATCCCCACCAAGGCCATCCTGATGAATCTGGGCTCTGCTGGTGGCAACATCTCAAGGCAGACAGTCCAATGGACACTGCACACCGCTGGGTTCCACGGATGCAGACCAAGGAGGACACCACGTCTCCAGATAAGGCACACCAAAGGCCACTTGGCGTTTGCAAATGCTCATCTGGACAAAGAAGAAGACTTCTGGTCTTCTGTTTTATGGTCAGATGAAACAAAAATTGAATTGTTTGGCCACAATGATGTAGCCTTCATTTGGCGTAAAAAAGGAGAAGCCTTCAACCCTAGGAACACCATTCCCACTGTCAAACATGGTGGTGGGAACCTAATGTTTTGGGGGTGTTTTTCAGCC